CTCCAAAATCACTGCAGATGGTGACTGCAGCCATGAAATTAAAAGATGCTTACTCCTTGGAAGGAAAGTTATGACCAACTTAGATAGCATATTAAAAAACAGAGACATTACTTGGCCTACAAAGGTCTGTCTGGTCAAGGCTATGGTTTTTCCAGTGGTCATGTATGGATGTGAGAGTTGGACTGCGAAGAAAGCTGAGCACCAAAGAATTGATGCTTTTGAACAATGGTGTTGGAGAAGACTCTTGAGAGTCCCTTGGACTGCAAGGAGATTCAACGCCTCCATCCTGAAGGAGATAAGTCCTGGGTGTTCATTGGAAGGACTGATGCTGAAGCTGAAACTCCAATACTTTGGCCATCTCATGCGAAGAGTTGACTCGTTGGAAAAGACCCTGATGCTGGGAGGGATTGGGGGCAGGAGGAGAAGGGGCCGACAGAGGATGAGATGGCTGGACGGCATCACCGACTCAATGGGCATGAGTTTGAGTAAACTCCAGGAGTTTGTGATGGACGGGGAGGCCTGGCGTGCTGCGATTCATGGGGTGGCAAAGAGTTGGACACAACTGAGCGACTGAACTGAACTGAACTGAATGTTAAATGATTAAACTAAGCCAGCTAAGCTCTTATCAGTAGGGAGAGCAGGGAGCATGTGAGAGACCCAGAGCTGTGGACTAAGGGACAAGGTAACCAGCAAGTTGGACTTTGTTCCTAGGTGTTTCATGTTCACCTGAATCTTGGTTGATGATGGATTTTTCAACGAAACGGGGAAAAATAAAGCCCATGCATGCTAAAAGCTAGGATAGGAGAACACTCTAAAGCTCTGAGAGCTGCTCTGAAGTTATCAGAGACTAATCCAGACATACTCCAATGCATTCAGGCTGTATCTGTTCACTCAAGGTTTCTAGTTAGTCTCTTAACTGCTGCTGTTGCTGCTGCTGCTAAGTTGCTTTGGTTGTGTCCGACTCTCTGCGACCCCATAGACAGCAGCCCACCAGGCTCCCCCGTCCCTGGGATCTCCAGGCAAGAACACTGGAGTGGGTTACTATTTCCTTCTCCAATGAATGGGAGAGAAAAGTGAAAGTGAAGTCGCTCAGTCGTGTCTGACTCTTGGCGACCCCATGGACTGCAGCCCACCAGGCTCCTCTGTCCATGGGATTTTCTAGGCAAAAGTACTGGAGTGGGGTGCCATTGCCTTCTCTGAGTCTCTTAACCAGTGAACCTTAAAAAATCCTGGGAGAATAAATGCAATATTGCCCTGGCCCGCCACCTTCTGGTGGCTCTAGGAATGGCAAGCTGGATACACTGCCACGGGCACAGTGCTCTCATTTTCTGGATGTGAGTTGCACTTTCTTTTCCCTGTTGCAATCCCTTTAAACTTTTTTTTGTTGTAAATACTATCTTGCATATATACATATATATATATATATTTTTACACGTATATATGTAAAATGTGTGGAGTCTCAGCTATTTTCAAATGACAAAACTGTATTTCTTCCCAGCCTCCACCCTAAAATTTCAGGTGGGTCAGCTGTGCTCTCAGAAGGACCGCCTGTGGCCTCCGGGTGCTGGTCATGGGCAGGGTGCTGAAAACCCCGGGGCAGGTGGCAGCCACTCTCTGGAAGGGGACACAGGGAGAAAGCATCAGCGGTCAATGCGCTGGGTCATGGCAGAGCTCCATGGGTGGGTCTAAGGGACTGCAGCAGCGTCAGTCAGGGTGCAGAGCTGAAGCCGGGACCAGGGAGTCACTGTGGGGTGGAGTCGACCAGACAGCCAGGCCTCCTTTCCAAGGAAGGCCCCAGGGAGGCCAGGGGAGGGGTGTTGTGCCGGCTCTGGAATGAATGTAGGGAGTTTGGGAGTTTTTTTGTTTACTTTTTATGTTATACTGGGGTATAGTTGATTTAAATGTTTTCAAAATTTCTGATTTTAGGGGTAGGCTAGGTTTTAAATGAGCTGGATGTGGGGCCGACTTAGGACGTCCATGCAAAAACATACAGCTAGCAGCAGAGGGTCAGGGCTGGAGGGACTCGTTGGTCAGGGGCAGTGGGATGAGAGTGGGTGAGACGTGGCCGGGCAGGATGGAGCAGGGACAGAAGCCCTTACTGGTCAGGGCCTGATGGAGACAGGAAAGGAAACAGAGAGCAAAGCCCAGAAGCAGGTTATTGAAGGTGACAGGAAATCAGCTTCCGGAAGGCAAGAGTGATCAATCATTGAACTGAAAGCATCAGGAACAGGAGGGCCAAAGGACGTCACCTGAATTGGCAGTTAGGTCCCTGTGAACTAGAGCAGCAGCTGGAAGCTGGTGGCAGGGACCAGCAGTGCCGATGAGCAGGGGACCAAGGGCAGGTCAGGATGAGAAAGGATGCTTGAGACCGAGGATGGTCAGAAGGGCTGCACTGCAGAAGAGCCAGGGAAGGACGAGGCTGGCTAGGAAGGATGCTCAGTACAGCATCCAGGACGCAGTCAGCACTCAAGACCATGGGAGTCATCCTCCACTCACTGACCGTATCCAGATCACACGTACCAGGGCTGTTCCGGGCCCTGTAGATACAGTAAGTGAGCAAGAGACACAGAAACCCTGGCCGAGGAGCTTACCTTCTAGCTGAGGAGACAGAGGGTAGACAAAAGAAACAACTCAAGTTGTATGGTGTGTTCCTGAGTGGTCAGGGCTATGGAGAAAGCATAAACTAAGGGAAGAAGATATAACATTAAAGGAGTGAAAGGAATTTTAGATCATGTGGCCAGGGAAGGGCCCCATTCAGTGAAGACCCAAAGGAAGTGAGAAAATTACCTACAATTAGGAAGTGAAGGAATGATGTCAATGATCACCACCCCTGTATTAGCATTCTCAGTGCATCATTATTGCAGGAACAGGTGTAACTGTATCATCGCCCTATCTTTGCCAGTGAATGGTACCATTACCACTGTCCCCTCTGGCTCCCCAGTGATTTTGGCAGCACGTCTGATGGCCTGGGTCCAGCTACAGGAGCCTCTCCGATGGAGAGCCGCGTCCTGGGGAACCAAGTGCAACCCCACAGACGAGCGTCACGGTGAGTGCGTACATCAGGGGCACAGCTCGGACGGGAAGGCCCCTGCGAGCAGTCACTGCAGAGGAGAAGCTGCGTCACGTGTGCACCGAGGGGTGACGGGCAGCACCCGGCAAGTCTTCCTGTCCCACCTGCAAGTAGGGGTCCTCCTCATAGGCCACCCTCAGACCAGAGTAAGTGACACAGAGACACCTCCGGGGCAACAGGAAAGGTGCAGCTCGAGGAGGCACAGGTGGAGAGTGTGTGACTCAGAGGTCACAGTCGTGTTCCTGTTGTTACTGTGTTAGTCGCTCAGTCGTGTCCGACTCTGTGTGACCCCGTGGACTGTATCCCGCCAGGCTCCTCTGTCCATGGATTTCCTAGGCAAGAATGCTGGAGTGGGTTGCCATTTCCTTCTCCGTGGGATCTTCCATACCCAGGGATCAAAGCCATGCCTCCTGCATTGGCAGGTAGATTCCTTACCACTGAGTGACGGGGGAAGCCCGTCATGTTTCTACCAGAGCATGTATCTGGTTGCTAGAGATAAAAATCAGCCCCAGTGCCATCTGGGAAGAACGAAGAACTGGGCATTCTTGCCATGTCTGTTAAGTTCCCACCAGATTTACTCTGAACGAGGGGACTGAGTTGCTTGTGATTGACACATACATTTTTCTTTAACAGATTGGCTGGGACTGATAATTATTCTTTGCATTAAAATAAAGAAAAAGATTCCAAATGCTGGAGGCCTCCTCCTCTCTTCAATTTAAGTTGCTACAGAATTTCTTAAGTGCCTCATTTATTGGAGACTTACAAATCACTTTCTGTGGGCAGGTGGGACAGGACACTCGACCTGTGGCTTCAAGAACAAACACCATCCTTCAAACAAGATTATGAAAAAGGTTTGAAAATATCTTTGATGTGTTTTTAGAAGCGTTTAATATCCAAAGCGAGCCACTACAGAATTGTCATTAAAAAAATAATAACCTCAGGATTAAAACATTAAAGTTTAATGTTTAATTAAACTTTAAATGTTTAATTAAATGCTTTAGTGCACATTAAATGTTTTAATGTTTAACATTAAGAATCAGAGTTTAGAATATAGGAAGCGTTTCCATTAACTGCTTGTAAACATCTATGTAAATAGATCCTAACATTTCCTTCCTGGCTTTGAAACCAAAAGCTAAACTGCTGTAATGACCAATGAAAAGCCTGTGAAAGAAGAAAGTAAACAGGCCAGTCATGTTTTGTGGCTCAAGGCAAAGGCAAGTTGCTACATTCCAAATATCATCATGGCCTTTCCACACGTGATTTATTTTAAAACAACTATTTTATTTTTTGGCTGTACCTCGGGGTGGGCAGGGATTGAACCTGGGCCCCTGCAGTGGAAGCGCAGTCTTAACCACTGAACCACCAGGGAAGTCCCACCCTGTATTTTCATGCTTCTCTAAGGATTCCCAGTGCCGACTTCATCCCCATCATCGACTCCACTCGAAGGTAGGAAAAGTGAATCAGAGACCCTGGAAAGAGTCCGACTGTGCAACGGGCTATCATCAAGCCAGGAAGCCAGCTGCCTCATCCCGGGGGGGTGGTCCTCCACCCAAGGGGGCGTGCAGAAAACACCGACTCCTGGCCTATTTCACTGCACCTGCTGGCGACTGAAGCAGCAGCACACGTGTTCCCGTGGATTCACCATCTACCTCTGGAAACGCCCTCAGCCATCGTGCTGTGGTTGAAGCACTGAAGGACGTCGGGGCTCCGTGTGAGATGCTGAGCCAGGGCGCCCGAGATGTCCGGAGAGTCCTGGAGCCCGGAGCTCAGGAGGAACTGGACACAGGCCGCGTGCTGCCCCGCGCAGGCCAGGTGCAGGGCTGGGTGGGGACAGAGGACCCAGCTCAGGGCTTTACCCACAGCAGTACAGACAGGGGAGCCGGGTGCCCCTGATAGAAACTCTGGTTCCTTCAGCTGCACAGATTTCATAGTTCCATATTCATGCCTATGACTTTGTCTACTCTGGATCTAAACATTTTTTCTTTTAACCTGATTTGGTCAGAAATGGTTTTAAAAGTAACAGAACCAATTGGGGAAGATTTGAGACTTGTCTAAAACACAGAAGTAAGTTCATGAGTCATGTCTGACTCTTTTTCAACCCCACAAACTGTAGCCTGCATCAGGCTCTCCTGTCCATGGGATTCTCCAGCAAGAATACTGGAGTGGGGTCCCATATCCTTCTCCAGGGAGATCTTCCCAACCCAGGGATCAAACCTGGTCCTCCCACATTGCAGGCAGATTTTTCACCATGTGAGCCATCAGGGAGCCCAGGTGGCCTAGTGGTAAAAAGAATCTGCCTGACAGTGGAAGACCCGCTGGAGACCTGGGTTCGATCCCTGGGTCAGGAGGATCCCCTGGAGGAGGACATGGCACCCCACTCCAGTATTCTTGCCTGGAGAATCCCATGGCCAGAGGAGCCTGGCTCGGGCTACCATCTAGGGGGTCACAAAGAGTCGGACACGATTGACATGCACACAGCAAATTAATAAGAACCAGGAGATTTTCAATGGTACAGAAGGCGTTTTCAAAGTTTTGTGAATTCACTGTGTAAGTTAAAAATATCACTATGAGTAAGAAAGATGTAACGGAAAGAAAAAACTGCTGACACGCCTTCCCACTCTGGTTAGAAACTGGCACTGAGGGTTTGCAGTCTGCTTCCTGGGGGCTGGAAGAGCCTAGGTCCTGCTCCCCTGCCATCAGGAGAAAGTTTGTGTGCCTGGACTCAGTGGCCTCCATCTGCAGTCCTGGAGTAAGAGGTGGGTTACCTGTGAGCCTTGAAGCATCATAGGTCAAACTAAACCCTGGCAAGATGGTCACTGGTGCACAGAATGCTACTAAGAAAATTTATTCCAAAGCCCAAGACTAAGGGGTTAGGTCTAAAAATATCTGAGCCTCAAATCTAAAAAATTACAGTGATTAAGGTTTTAAAATACATTCCAAGAGAGACGGCCTATGAAGAATCCACGTGACACCCTGGGGGCTGGTGTGATCACGGATTAACACAGAAAGCGCTTTGACATAGGGAACTCTGCTCAGTATTGTGCACCAGCCTGGATGGGGGAAGGGGGAGGTTTGGGGGAAAATCAATGCATGTGTATGTATGGCTGAGTCCCTTCACTGTTCACTGAAACCATCACAACATTGTTAATCGGCTACACCCCAAGACAAAACAAAAAGTTGAAAAAGAAAGCGCTTGGATGTCACATATGTTAAGTGATTTAAGCTACTATGAACACAGTAGCGGCAGTAAAGTATCATTGCTGCCATGGTAATAGCAATAGTTCTATAGCTTTGCAAATGGATATGTTATTTGAATTAAAAGGTACTGAGCTTTTAGAGGAATAAATATTAAGACTGATTTTTCAAACATAAAAGTTCACTGTTAATTTTGTTTGGTGGTGGTTTAATTGCTCAGTCGTGACCAACTCTTGCGATCCCATGGACTGTAGCCTGCCAGGCTCCTCCATCCATGGTATTCTCCACGCAAGACTGGAGTGGGTTGCCATTTCCTTCTCCAGAGGATCTTCCTGACCCAGGAATTGAACCTGGGTCTCCTGCATTGCAGGTAGATTCTTTACCAACTGAGCTGAGGAATAATATTTTAAGACTAATTTTTCTAACACAAAAGTTCACTGTTAATTTTGTTTACATTCAGCTTACTAACAATTTTCAAAGTCCATGTAAAATGAGATCATACCTGATCGATTTCTTTCATCCTTGGAGTTGATGTCAGCACCCAAGGATAAGAGTGTCTGGACTGTGCTCACATGACCTTCCTGAGTGTTGAAATAAATGTGTTACCACTGCAGTGATGACAAAAGCAAGCCTTAAACACAAACTCTACTGCATATTAGGTGCTTTTTCTAAAGTTGTTGTTCAGTTGCTCAGTCATGTCCAATTCTTTGTGACCATGGACTGCATCATGCCAGGATTCCCTGTCCTTCACTATCTCCTGAAGTTTGTTCAAACTCATGTCCGTTGAGTCAGTGATGCCAATCAACCATCTCATCTTCTGTCACCCCCTTCTCCTCCTACCTTCAATCTTTCCCAGCATCAGGCTGTTTTCCAATGAGTCAGTTCTTCACATTAGGTGGCCAAAGTACTAGAGCTTCAGCTTCGTCCTTCCAATGAATATTCAGGGTTGATTTCCTTCGGGATTGACTGGTTGGATTCCCTTGCTGTTCAATGGACTCTTAAGAGTCTTCTCCAGCACCATAGTTTGAAAGCATCAAAAGTACTTACCTGCTAAAACTGAATTTTCATATCTAAAGGAAGGCTCATCACATTACTATCAAAATCCACTGTCAATCATTAAATAAAGATGCAGGTGGTGTTTAGTTATTAGAAGAGAGACAATCAACTTTGAAGCCAAATTATTGACCACTATCGTTGGGTTTCTGGGGAAGTAAACAGCAACCCACTCCAGGCTTCTTGCCTGGAGAATCCCATGAACAGAGGATCCTGGTGGGCTACAGTCCAGGGGGTGGCACAAGAATCTGACATGACTGAGCACGCACAAAGTGGTGCACGGCTGGGTTTCATCTCAGTGTAAGGAGTTCAAATCTTGTGATTTTCTTAGAAGACACAATTCTAAATCTTCCAAGCAAACACGCTCTTTGCTAACCCCTTAGGGGAGAAAATAGACTGGAACACAATGTAACCTCCCCGGACAGGATTCTTATCACAGCTGGCACCGTCCTTTGTGAAGCAACTGACACACCTTACATCCGGCCAGTCAGCCCATCAGTAACTGCTGAGGTGGAAAGTGAGGCTGCAGGTTCAATCTTCCCACTCGCTTTTGTCCCCCTGTGGCCCCAGACCACACACTCAGCCCACCCTCGACTATATACCCATGTTGTCAAAGGGGAACATAGGTAGGAGAGTGCAGGTCCCCAGAAGAACATCTATTCCTGAGGTTAGAAAACAAGGAAAGGCAGGCAGCCAATAATGTTAAAGATTATACACAAAACACTCACATCTTGTGAAAGAGGAGGGTGAAAGCCAACTACTTTCCTAGCAGAAAGTTCTGGACTCCTTTAACACTTCATGCATCAGTTGTTGTGGTTGTTTAGTCGTTGTGTCCGACTCTACGTGACCCTATGGACTGTAGCCCGCCAGGCTCCTCTGTCCACGGGGATTCCCCAGGCAACAATAATGGAGTGGGTAGTGTCAACTACAAACTGGCACTTAACAGGAGCACTGACAATGAGTGAACAACAAAGACATTTGCCATCTGTCTCTATGGAGATTGAACCCCATGCTGCTATAGCTATTGACCTTCAACAATCCCTGAGGGAGTTCAGGGTGGAGTGAGGCCCTCTGTGCTCCAGGGAGTCTGGTGGGACAGGTCTTTATAGATAGTTGGATGTTTTTAGGAACAGATTTTATGATTTCAATCCTTGTATCTCCTCATATCTAGAGAAGCACTAAATCCCTTCATGGTGACATCAGATCTTCATGACTAACAGAAAAACCTTTTGTAAAATGAGTATTTCATGGTATGGAACTCCCCCTTCACCAAAACCTTATGTATATATTGGCCTTCCCCCACTGCTGCTCTGGAGCAGTCTCCCAGAGCTATCTGAGATGCTGCCTCCCAGGCTGTAGTCCTCATTTTGGCCCAAATAAAACTTAACTCGAAACTCTAAAGTTGTACATCTTTTTCAGTTGACAGTAGCCATTTCCTTTCCCAGGGGATCTTCCTGACCCAGGGATTGAACTCGCATCTCCTTCACTGGCAGGTGGGTTCTTTACCACTGAGTCGCCAGGAAATCCCTTCATATATCAGTCAGAGAGCCCAGTAAATGCAATTCCCTCCTCTTAGCTAAAGAAATCTTCTGAAATCCAGTAAAAGGATAAAGAGCTAAGAATTTCATATGATGGATTTTTATGGCTTCAAATAACATTATTCCTGAAAACAAAAAAGGTAGGAGGGAACACCTAGTACGGGCATTACATGGAGTAAAGGGCTTTTCTTTTTTACCTAGAAACAAATAGAGGCAGGTTTCTATGTAAAGGAACCCAGGGCTTCAGAATCAGGACCATTTCAAGAGTATGTTATGAGCAAATTCTTTCTTCCAAAGAGATGGAGCAGAAGAATCAGGACTACAGGTTACTCATCAACAGGGTTAGGCAAGCCTTTATGGAGCTGGAACACCATTCTGGAAAGAAACAAACCTTAGCTGCGAAGTGAAGCGCAGTGAGATGGGTGGATCCTGCTCTTGCATCAACGTTGACGCCAAGCTCCGAGACCAGGAATCGGATGGCTTCATCCTGCCCAGTGACCGCTGCCCGGTGGATCGCCTGGGCCCCCAGTGAGTCCTCAGCTGACACGCAAGCCTAGGAGGTGAGGACGGACATGAGCAAAAAGAAGCACAGACACTTGGGTCCACAGACCTTTTGACATGTTGGCAAAACTCTGCCGTCTACATATGTTTTTCTGGGTAGGTCATACAGAACTTTTGTCAGATTCTCAAAGGATGCTCTAACCAAAGAAGTGCTTAAGATTCAAAGCTAAGGTGCCAAAAAAGTATAGTCACTAGGGAGAGTCTGTTGTTATTATTACTATGAAACAGCTGCTGTTTATTGAAGACATTTTGCTAACTGCTTTCTGTACATTTCATTATTTAATCCTTATAGTAACCCTGTGAAAAAAGTGAAACTTGTCTGTTTTACATATGGAAACACTGATGCTTAAAGAGGTAAAGGGGGCCTACAGTGGGGAAGGTGGCAGAGTTGAGATCTGAACCCACCATCTGAATCACCATGCTTCCTGTGTATCCCCTGGGCTAAAACTTCTAGGAACAACCGAAGGGACAGAACCAAACCATTTCTCTACCTTGTGCTTTTCGAGGAGCAGCCTGGCCACGTCCGTGTGGCCACACTGAACGGCATCCATGAAGGGCGTGAGGCCACACCTGTCTCTGCAGTCCGGTTCGTACTGGCACCTGGAGCCCAGATCCAAGGCAACAGCTGAGAACAGTCACCGCTTCAAACCTGACAGCACTGACTCTGGCCCACCTGCCTTACAGAGGATCCATGAGGACCTGATGTGCTTGCCCTGTGTCCCCGCCTCAGCGTCTGGGGAGCACGTTGGTATCCCAGCAAACCTGCTCCTCCCCCAACATCCCATCCCATTTTAGGGATCGTCATCTCTCCAGATTCTTATGCAGAGCTTTACAGTCGCCCCTTATTGCTCACAAAACCTCTCAATTCTCCAGCCAGCATGTGAAACAAATTGGTATCCTTCTTTCCAGCTTCATCTTCACCCCTCAAGACGGAGGCAACAGGCAACAGCCTCCTACCTATTTTTCTCTCTTTAGTTCCGCCCCAGCCATTTTGTTCTCACCACCAATGGAGTAATCTTTTCACCACATATTTAGGTTATGGCCACTCCTGGTTAAACCTTTAACTGCTTCCTAACCACAAAGGACAAAGTCTACAAAGCTCAACATGACCTTGTAGGTCAGGACTACATGGAACCTACTTACTTCTCCAGGTTCCTCGGGCCTCTCCTCCCTGTGCTTAAGGAGACCCCCTTCAGTCTGGTCTCACTTCTTGGTCCCACACCCCATCTGTCCTCCTTCCATTCCTACCTTCTCTTCTTGTTTCTACTTTCTTCGCGGTCCTACCTATCTCTCCTTCTTCTTGGCCCCACTGCCTACCAGTCCTACCTTCTTCCATTCCTGCTTCTCTGCTCCCACCTTTTCTGTGGTCCTTCTTCTTGGCCCCACCTTCTTCCATTCCTACCTTCTCCTGTGTTCCTATCTTCGTGGTCCTATCTGTCTCCCTTTTTTCTCAGCCCCACCTCCTAGCTGTCCAATCTTCTTCCGTTTCTACCTTCTACTGTGTTTCTATCTTCTTTGTGGTCCTACCCAGTTCCCCTTTTTCTCAGCCCCATCTCCTACTTGTCCCATCTTCTTCTGTTCCTACCTCCAACAATCCTCCTGTCCCACCTCCTCCTGCTCCTCTAGCTACTGGCTCTTTGCTGCCTTTGCCCTTCCTGGACCCTCTGCCTGGAACATCCCAGCACCATTCTTCACCTTGCCACCTCCAAGGCATCCTTTGAATCATAGCTTCAAGGAGACCTCACAGAGTTGTTCTCCCCCCAGATCTACAGGGACTATTGGTGCTCCCGCACAGAACTGTGGACTTTCCCTTTGCAATATTATCACAACTTGTAATTTTATGACATTTCTGTGATGGTGTGTCTATACTCGGCTTCCGCACTAGCCTGCAGGCAACCAGAGAAAGGACTGTGTTTACTGCTTATCGCCTAGGGCCTAACACATAGGAGGCACTTAGAAAGCGCTGGTTGAATGAAGTATTTATGACTGCAGACAACACGTATGTCCCAACATGCAGCAGGTGAGCCCTACACAGCGATGCTCTCAGGGCACTGCATTCGGCCTCCTCTTCTTCACTCACCATCTCCTAGGTAACCACTTCCATCCTCTGGATTCAATCGTCACTTCTATGCCAACGAGGCCCACTCCCATATCTCGGTCACACCTATTCTCTGGGCCTAGATCTGTGTCTAACCGCCTGCTGGACAATTCTTCCTGGGTGTCTCACAGGTACATGTAACTCAATGTGTCCAAAACTGACGTGCAAGTGAGTGAACAAATGTTTGTTGGATGAACAGATAAACGGATAACTTCTCCCCAGGTTTGTTAGCTGTTTTTGCTTCACCTTCTTTATCTGCTTATGTCCTTTCTTCATTTCCTTCTTGGTACCTTAGATTCTTTCTGAACAATTTGTATGAGCTCTTTATGCAGCAACTCTTTATGATACTAACTCTGTCAGAATTAGCATATATTGTCCTCAATTTGCTGTATTGTTCTTACCTCTGAAGAAGCACCTCTACTGCCTCTAAACAGCCATGCATTGCTGGGAGGAGAGAATTGAGAATGAGAGCTTTTTAGTGCAAAATTAGAATGCCTCTTCCCTCCTGGCACCTCTCTCTGCCCTGGCCCTGTAGCTGCACCTCCCAGGAAGGAGTATTAGGTTAGGCTTGCTGCCACCGCCCCCAGAAAAGGACAGATTCAGCTGGAGGAGTGGGGAAGAGTCCTATTTTCACCTAATGGGTACAAGGCTACCCCTTTATCATCCTGTCTTTATGAGACTTTCTTGGCAAACATTTAACTCTAAACCTCCATCCTCATCCTCATGCTACAAATCCCTAGGGCCAGGCAGTTTTTGCCTAGGAAATGTAAAACATTGTAAGAGTAATCTATGACAAAATAACCAGGAATTTAATTCTGCTCCTAAAAATAACTATACTCCACAACAAAGATTTTTGACTCTCTGTTTTCCACTGTTTTGTGTGAATGACTGGGTGCTGACTGCTCCTTCACAAGAGCGGGGGAGCTCATCAGTTTATGAGCAGAGACGCTTTTCCACTCATATGCAAAGTTTTTTTCTTTTTTAGGGGGGTGGGGGGCTGTTGAAAGGCATGTGGAACTTTAGCTGCCCAACCAGGGATCGAACCCATGCCCCTTGAGTGGAAGCATGGAGTCTAAACCACTGGATCATCAGGGAAGCCCCTATGTTCAAAGTTTTAAAAAGGATACCTTGGTTCCTAACTGCCCCCAGTGACCAGAACAACTGTGTGCCTACCTCCTCAATGATATCATGTCACAGGTCTTGACTTCCGAGAAGTCTAAAAGCCCTGTATTCAAGTTCAAGGTACTGCCCAGTAGGCTACCAATTACGGTCTAAACGTCTTTATTTGGATTCCTGAGCTGCTTAATGCCCCTTTCATCTTACACTGCTACACTTTCGCTTTTAACTAATTTAAGATAATCTACAAATATTTAGTCCAGAGTTAAGGATAATTACTCCAAAAAATCAAAAGAGTGGCCCAGAATTATATTCGACCTTATCACTGGATGAGTCACAATCCACTGGGCTTCGGGATTTAATTATAAGCACCCGTGTGCTTCCCAGGTGGCGCTAGTGGTAGAGCCTGCCTGTCAATGCAGGAGGTGCAAGCGACGTGGGTTCAATCCCTGGGTCGGGAAGATCCTCTGGAAGAGGAATCGGCAACCCACTCCAGGACTCTTGCCTGGAGAATCCCATAGACAGGGGAACCTGGCTACAGTTGATGGGGTGGCAAAGAGTCAGACACGACTGAGCAGACTCTCGTTTGTATTTATTTAAATGGACAGCACCGTGGCAGGTGTTGCTGAAGATATGAGGGGACAGTCCCCTTTCCTTCTGCTTTTAATAATCATCATCATCATAATGATGTGAAAACAGCAGCTGTAGCCATCCTGAGCTCACTGTGTGTAGAGCGCTATGCTGAGTGATGTGTGTGCACCTTAATCCCCATGACCCTATGATATGGGCTTCGTTGCTGCCATTATTCTGTGGCTAAGAAACCTGCTCGAGAGATTAATTTCCTTGCCCAAGGTCAGAGACATAGTAAGGAACAGAAGCAGCCCACCATCTAACTTGTGGATGGCAATGGAAAGCCACTCCAGTGTTCTTGCCTGGAGAATTCCATGGACAGAAGAGCCTGGTGGGCTACAGTCCCTGGGGATCACAAGAGTTGGACACAACTTAGTGACTAAACCACCACCACCACCATCACCATCTAACTAACTGGGGAGGAGAAGACAGATAGAAGTGAAAAGTCACCTAAAACAAGAAAGAAGTGCAAGCTGAGGGCCGAGTGACATTGGCTTTGGAAACTGTTTGCCAAAACACCCCAAAATAGCTTGTGTTCCCTGCCCCCTACTTCCCCTGTACCACCCCCGCCACGGGGGACATCCGGCAGGTCTGGACCACACCTGCCGTGTGCAGTGGAGTCCTCCCGATCTTGCTTTCTGTCCTCCAGGCAGAGGGGCAAACTGCGAGCAGGTACTGGAGGATCAGAGGGTCGCCTTCGCGGCTGGCAATGTGGAAACTGTTCCAGCCGTCTTTGTTCTTCAGGAGTGGATTGGCGCCGTGCTCCACGAGATCCCGGATCACCTCGAGGTTTCTCCTCGTGCAGGCCATCATCAGAGGAGTCCTAAGGCCGATGGGACAAGCTGTCAGGTGGAATAGCAGCTGAGACCCTGGAAGCCCGGGACTGGGGCTTCAGAAAAATGCACACCCATGGCGGAGACAGAAGACCTGGAGGACTCAGGGGGTCTGGGAAGCAAGCAAACAGCTTTGGCTGGCAACTTCCCTGCCTGCCGTGAGGAAGCTGGCAGAAATAACCAGGGAAAAACGACTGTGATATGGGTGCCCCTACAAGTGGGAAACACAGAGGAGGTGAAAGTGCTTCTGAACTAGTTTTTAGTATAGCACTGAACTGGGACAGAACCCATCAAAGTTACAGTTTGTGCTGAATATCTGCAAAAGAGGCACTTTGCAAGATCATCCCATTCACTTCAATCTGTAACCCTTTATTAAACTGTGGTGAAACAACTTTAAAAAGAGCATTTGCTGGAGAAGGAAATGGCAGGATTCTTGCTTGGAGAATCCCACTGACAGAGTAGCCTGGGGGGCTAAAGTCCATGGTGTTGCAGAGTTGGACATGACTGAGAGATTAAGTATGCACACACAAGCAGGGCCAAATAAATATTTTTAAAATAAATAAATAAATAAAAGAAAAAAGGAGCACTTGACACAGCACCTTGCTGAAAGGAGCCTACACTGGTAGAGCAGGTAGAACAGCGGTATATTACGGTAAGTTCCTGACTTGATGTGTGTCCACACTGGGGAGACTGAACTACATCACTGTCAACTCCTCTCCTCCCACCAAACTGATTCTATACTTCTGCTTCTCATCTGCTCCTGTGTGTGTGCGTGCTCAGTCAGTCATGTCCAACTCTTTGACACCCCATGGACTGTAGCCCACTGGGCTCCTCTGATCGTGGGATTCCAGGGGCAAGAATACTGGAGTGGGTTGCCATGTCCTCCTCTGGGGGATCTTCCCGACCCAGGGATCAAACCTGTGTCTCTTGCATTGTCTGCATTGGCAGGGTATTCCCTGAGTGACCTGGGAACCCTCTCATGCCCATGACCCCTGGAAAGCAGGTAGACCCTGGTTACCTCCTATCCCCAGGGTCTGGGCCAGCCGGAGCTCAACACAACTAGATGGGTGTCAGCCAGGATTTGTCCTGAGACTGCCTTGGTATTACTTAATCATCAACAATTTTGTTTTCATTTTGTTATTTTTTATTGGGGCACAGCGGATTAACAATGTTGTGATAGTTTTAGGTGAACAGTGAAGGGACTCAGCCATACATATACATGGACCCAATCTTCCCCAAACCTCCGCTCCCATCGAGGCTGCCACATAACATGGAGCAAAGTTCCCTGTGCTATACAGTATGTCCTTATTGGGACAGCTAGGGCATTTGAGATGGTCATGTACACACTGCTACATTTAAAATGTTTCAGTTTTTTATTTCTGGTAATGTAGTAATGAGAGTGAATGAAAAATCAAGAGGGAGAAACCTGGATGAATGAAGGCTGGAATCTTCAAGAAGGGGTTTCTCAGAGGGAATGACTCCAGGGAAGAAGGGACTTGAGAAGCCAGCAAGGTGAGAACAGTCAAAAATGTCTCTCTAACTGCACTTTCTAAGCCCACAATCAAGTGAAACTTGCCCTTGTGATGGTTGTTTGGGGAGGCTGTTTCTTTATCCACAGTTCAGTTCAGTTCAGTTCAGAAATCTCTAGTCTTTCCCATTCTATCATTTTCTTCTATTGCTTTGCACTGATCACTGAGGAAGGCTATCTTATCTCTCCTTGCTATTCTTTATGCACAGAATTGTTTTAAAAGAGGTAATATGCCTCCACTATCTTTAGACCAACTTACTAGCAGCAGAAGAAAATGTCTTGTGCTTGCTGCTGCTGCTGCTGCTAAGTCGCAGCCAAAGCACAAACCTCAAAACATAAGGATGCCTATTCCCCCATGCCAGTGGGCAAGATGCACTTTATAAAGCTATATGGCTGTCTGATGCAATTCTTTTTTATATAAGATCAGGGATTCCTTGTGGATTCATTCAGGAACTTCATTATGTTATGAACCTTCAGGTGTTCAAACCTCTAAGCGCATGGACAGACATAGTAAGGATGGAAAACCATGTGGATCTTTTAACAGAATGCAATTACTTCATGTGATGGTTACAGGCGTGGTGTTGGAGAACTCTTGAGAGTCCCTTGGACTGCAAGAAGATCAAACCAGTCAATCCTAAAGGAAATCAGTCCTGAATATTCATTGGAAGGACTGATGCTGAAGCTGAAACTCCAATATTTTGGCCACCTGATGTGAAGAACTGACTCACTGGAAAAGACCCTGATGCTGGGAAAGATTGAAGGTGAGAGGAGAAGGGGACAACAGAGGATGAGATGGTTGGATGGTATCACCGACTCAATGGATGTAAGTTTGAGCAAGCTCTGGGAGTTGGTGATGGACAGGGAAGCCTGGTGTGCGGCAGTCCATGGGGTCCCAAAGAGTTGGATATGACTGAGTGACTGAACTGAACTGACGGACTAGAGGTGAACACTGTGCCTGTGAAGGTGGTCATGTAATAAGCCACACAGAGCACCCTACACACTTACCTGTGCTCACCTGTATAACTGTGAAATCTGAGTAAGTGTCCTGATTGTAGCAATGTCAGTTTCTTCTTTTTATTACTGTACTCCCCCTTTAACTTTGGAGCAAGATGTTAACTTTGGGGCAAGACTGGGGAAAGGTGCATGGAACTCCCCACTTGTCTTTGGAAATTTCTGAGAAGCGATAATTAGGAATTTCAAAACGGAAAGTTAAAAAGTGTCATGGGTGCAGTAATCATTTAGCTAGATGTTTCCAGAACATCCCATCTGGGGCCCATGCAACACGCAGTACCTACAGGCAAGTCGTAGTTCGAGTCTATTCTATCTGAGCATGCTCCTTACTGCTCTCTGCTCTATCACGGGAGGCAGTCTGGAGCAGAAGGCTGCAACAGTTAACTTCACAAGGGCAGAAACAATGCTCTGCTCTGTAGGGGAAGGCTGACCGGCTACGGTGTGAAGGCCGACCAAGAGTAGGAATCTGCCATCAGCGGGGAGGGGAGGGGGTCTCTCTGCAAGGCCCACCACTTACCAGTCGGCCTTCTTCAGGCAGTCGACCGCGGCCCCCCGGCCCAGCAGGTACCGCACGCAGTCCCGGTGACCCATGGAAGCAGCCTCGTGCAGAGGCCGCTTGTAGTCCCGGTTGGCGGCTTCGATGTCCATGTCCCAGGCCTCGACCAGATAGGCCAAGACGTCCCGGCGGCCGTGGCGGGCGGCGCAGTGCAGGAGGGTATCCCCGGCCGGCCCCGCGCAGCCCGCGTGCCCCGCCGCCTGCAGCTCCCCGCGCAGGGCGCATAGTCGGCCGTCTTGCACCAGCCGGCACAGCCGCCGCGGGTCGGCGGGCGCGGCCATGGCCGCGGACTCGGGCCAGCCGGGGACCACCCGGGACCCTCCTCCGGGCCCTCCCCGCCTCCGCCGGGGCCCGCCTTCGAGATCCTCCCCCGGGACCGTCCGGCCCCTGGGGACCCTCTTCCGGACGACCCCAGCCTCCCAGACCCTCAGGCCTCTGGCTGACTACGCGCCCCGCGAGCCGCCGCGGAGGCCGCCGCTCGCACTGGTTTCACTTTGGGGCGAACCCGCTGGACTGTCGCTGAAGGCCTGGGTCACACGTGCCTCCGGCCCGGCCCCCGAGAACTTGGTGAAGTTTCTGCTCGCCTCTTCCGCGGTAGCGGAAGCTCGGACTGGACGTGGCCCGCTAGCGGGGTTGGGGGGGTGGGGAAAGAGTGAGGATGCGCATTCCGATTGGCTGTTGGAGTCGTCCGTCAGCGCGCCCCCTCCGTATGCGCGCTATGATTGGCCGGGGATACGTTCCGTCAGTGTCGCCGGCGGGCTCTTCTCCCGGCGGCTGAAGCGGCGGCGGCGGCGGCCGCGGCGGAGCTGGTGAAGGCGGTCGGCGGAGTACTCGGGGGGTAGCTCTTCTCGGGGACGCCTGTTGTGCTCACGGCTCGTGGAAGCGCGGCCCGAAGCGGAGGACGGTGTGCGGCGGCGCTGCGCGCAGCCTGGAGCTCCCGACCAGGAGGTGGAGGACATTGGTCGGGACACCGTTTCTAGCTCTCCCTGCGGGCTCCTTGGGGCCCTGCCCCTAGCCGCACCCGCAGCCCGGTCACATCTTTGCCTTTCCTGCGGGTGGAAGCCCTCTCCCGGAACCTGAGCGTGTGTGCCCCTCTGGAGGAGGGTCGTCAGTGATCCGCTGGTACGGAGCGCGCTCCTCGTTGTCTGAAAGTGAAAGTGAAGTCGCTCAGTCGTGTCCAAGTCTTTGCGACCCCATGGACTGTAGCCTGCACCAGGCTTCTCCATTCATGGGATTTTCCAGGCAAGAGTACTGGAGTGGTTTGCCATTTCCTTCTCCAAGTTCTCTGAAGTTCTCTCTAAAAGTGCCCGGCGCCGCCTCGCTTAAAGCGTGCTCCTGACGGTGACCTTTCCTCAGAAAATATTTCCTCAGAAATGTTCGTGTCCCGTTGTCCTCCAGAATCAGATCCCAACCCCTGGAAGCACCTGAGACCTTTCTGTGTGCGTCTCAGCATGTTGTTTATTCTTCCCGTCCATCCCTGTATTCTGTCCACGGCAAACGATCCCGGCTGTTTACCGTATGGTACCTTCCTTAGCTTGGTCTGATCTGCACCCCACGTCCAGCCAGCCCAAAGGGCCCCCTCATGTCTCTGTGGACGTCTCACCTCTTCCAGGCTCCACTCCCCGAGTAACTCCTCTGCTCCATCCCACGGACTTCACCCTGTCTCTCTTCTTTGTGCCGCTATACGCGATTTATACCTCTGTGGGCTTCCCTCATAACTCAGTTGGTAAAGAATCTGCCTGCAATGCAGGAGACCCCGGCTTGATCTCTGGGTTGGGAAGATCCCCTGGAGAAGGGATAGGCTACCCACTCCAGTGCTCTTGGGCTTCCTTTGTGGCTCAGCTGGTAAAGAATCGGCCTGCAATACGGGAGACCTGTGTTCGATCTCTGGGTTGGAAGATCCAGCCTTTCCCTGGAGAAGGGAAAGGCTACCCACTCCAGTATTCTGGCCTGGAGAATTACACGGACTGTGTAGTCCATGGGGTCTCAAAGAGTCGGACACGACTGAACGACTTTCACTTTCAAGCCTGTTACTTCAGGTGTGGTCTTAGAGAGGCTTCCTCCTTAATTTGAGCTATTAGAGCATGGCTGGAGGGCTGATTGTCCTGTTTGTGCATTCTCCATTGGATCTCACGATATTTTGTTGTTAAATCGCTTCAGTCCTGTCCGACTCTTTGCAACCCTACAGACTATAGCTTGTCAGGCTCCTCTGTCCATGGAATTCTCCAGGCAAGAATACTGGAGTGGGTTACCATGCCCTCCACCAGGGTCTCTTCCCCACCCAGGGATCAAACCCGCATCTCTTCTGTCTCCTGCATCGGCAGGCAGACCACCTGGGAGGCCCAATATATATATATATATATATATATATATATATATATATATATTAATAGGAGGTGATTACTGAATGCATGTTGTGTGTAGTCTCAGGAGTACCTTCTGAGGATGACACAGGGGGCAGCCCTGTGCTCTCAGAAAGGATTTCCCAGTACCATTAGCCCACAGCCTGTTTTTCCCTTAGTCGTTATGCTTACCAGGTTCACGTCTCCAGGAAGCCTGAAGTTGTGAGAATGTTCTGCTTAACTTGTATGTCCCTTAGACCAGCCATTGGCAGTAATCCAGAGGTGGAGAATTTAACCCATTCTTCAAATGTATTGAAGTTTAAAACCTTAGAGATTGAGGGCAAGATGGGTATGTCAAGGCTCAGTACATTTCTCTTCCAAACCCAAAACATTTTGGAGGAAATTTCACATCACACTTGCTCCATTCTTTGCTGGGGTTTTTGTCTCCTACCTTCAGAGAAATATTGTTCTGTTTTTAGTTGTGAACTTTGTTTTGGGTTAGTAAATCTACTCACTTAATTGAGATCTCTGATGGGAATGGGAATGTGTGAGGGTTCCCTCCACTCTGCTTGAGAAGATTTTGGGAACACATCTCAGCTTATCTTTACCTCCTGAAATGTTAGAACAGTACTCTTTTTATCATCGCTAGCAATGACATGATGGAGTTACTTTCAGTGACCTTGTCACAGCTCTCATTTTATTTCTTGTGGTGTCTTTGTCTGGCTTCAGTATAAGGTTATGCTGGCCTCAGAATAAGTCTGGAAGTTTTCCCTCCTCCTCAGTTTTTTTGAAGAGTTTAAGGGGGATTGATATTAGTTCTTTAAATGTTCAGTAGACTTTTTCAGTGAAGCAATCTGTTTCTGGACTGTTCCTTTTTGGGAGGCTTTTGATGACTGATTCAATCTCCTTATTCATTATTGGTCTGTTCAGATTTTCTGTATCTCCATGATTCAGTCTTGGTAGATTGTGCGTTCCTAAAGATTTATTCATTTCTTCTAGATTATCCATTTGATTGACCTGCAGTTGTTTGAAGTATTCTTACAACCCTTCTTATTTCTGTGACATCAGTTGTAATGTTTCCTTTTCATTTCTGATTTTATTCAGCTCTTCCCTTTTCCCATTATATATCTAAGAGCTGTCAATTTTGTTTTAAAAAAAGAAAACTTTTAGTTTTATTAATTTTTTCCCCATATTTTTAAATTCTTTATTTCATTTATTTCTGCTCAGTAGTCTTTATTGTTTCCTCCCTCCTGCTAGCTTTGGGTTTAGTTTGTTCTTTTTCTCATTCTTTTAGGTGTAAAGTTAGCTTGCTGATGTGTGGTCTTTCTTATTTTTTAAAAATAAGTTTATTTATTTATGTTTTGGCTACACAGTGTCTTAGTTGCAGCACATGGGATCAAGTTCCCTGACCAGGGATGGAATGTTGGCCCCCTTCATTGGAAGCTTGGAGTCTTAGCCACTGGACCACCAGGGAAGTCCCTGTGATCTTTCTTATTTTTTAATATAAGTGCTTATAGCTATTAACTTTTAGCATTGCTTGCATTTCATCCCATACATTTTGGTATCTGTGTTTTTATTTGTCTCGAGGTATTTTCTAATTTCTTTGTGATTTCCTTTTGACCCATTGGTTGCTTTAAAAATGTTTTTGTTTTTAATTTTCACATATTTGTGAGTTTTCCAGTTTTCTTTCCACTACTGATTTCTTGTTTCATTCTTAGTGATTGAAAAACATACTTTCTATAATTTCATTCTTTTAAAATGTGTTAAGACTTCTTTCGTGTGATCTTTTACTTGCATGTTATCTATCCTGGAGAATGTTCTGTGTGTACTCGCAAAGATTATATATTGTTGGGTGGAGTGTTCATTATATGTCTGTTAGGTCCAGTTGATGTAGTGTTGTTTGTTCTATCCATTCTTGAAAGTGGAGTATTGAAGTCTCCTGTTATTATCCTGTTGTCTGTTTCTCTCTTCAGTTCTGTCAGTGTTTTCTTCCTAGATTTAGGAGCTCTTCTATTTGGTATGTGCATATTTATAATTGTTATATCTTCTTGGTGAATTGATCCTTTTTATCATTTTATAATCTTCTTTGTCTCTTGTAAAATTTTTGACTTAAAGTGTGTTTTGTTTAATGCTATTATAGCCACAGCTCTCATGTTGTTTAATCCTCTTTGAAACTCTGAGTCATTAGTGTCCCAACAGGAACTAGACACTGTTTCAGATAGGAAAATTGAAGCACTAGCTCTTCACAGATTCTATAATAAGTTGAAACCAAAATTGAACCCCCACCCCTTTCCTAGTTTCCAACTAAAATTCCTTTCAAATTAAAGGATGTGTAATGTTTCTGCCCTTTTCTCCAGCTTTTGAGTTGTGGGCTCCAGTTGTTTTTTAAACAACTATCTGTATGTTTGTAGCCTGATTTGTGCTCTGATAGCCATTGCCTGCATGCTCTTTTGGATTTCTTAAACTATCTAGTTCATTCCTTAAAAAAAGTTGTATCACCAATACCTGATGAATGAAGAGCAAACTATCAGCAGGGTGCATGGCATCCTGCTGAGCTATGGCATAGAGGAGGAGTCAGACCTGTACATGCTGAGCCTCATCTGGTAAGTCACCGTCTCCTGGGAGGAAGTTGGTTTCTGAAGTCCTTTCCGAGAGATGTCAGGATTTAATGGATCGTCTTTCCCACGGACGCTGCTGTGAATGTCTTATAGCTACACAGACACCACGAAGTGCTCCCTAAGTGTGGACCCTGGACGGGTGTTGTGGAGTCTGATGGAGCACCTCCTTACCGAGGTAGAGGCCTACATGTGCCAACACCTCCCTGACCTCTACGCTGCCCCTGCCATATGTGAAGAGTCTGTGGGGAGGGCTGGGGAGGTGTCACCTTTTCTCTTTGGAAGAATGTGTCTTGGTGGTCAAGTTTGGCTAAAAGTTATTTTAGATTTATTTTCAAAATCTTCCTTCAGTCTCTGCTTTGAAGCCTTAATCTTTGTCATTGGTCCCTTAGAGAAATAAAAGGCCACAGATTCTTTAATTTGAAAGGAATTTTAAAAAGCATTTCACCCAATTTCCCCTTCTGTTGAGCAGTCCCAGGAGAGGATGGTCATCTAGCTTCTGAACACTGATCAGTAAGGATATCTTTACAAGGCAGACCACTGTATTGGTAACAACTTGGGTTATTTGAAAGGACCAGATAAATGAAGGGCTTCATGCTGACACACAGTGAGTTAATGAGAAGCTGGAAATAGTCCTCTGTGTTCTGCCTCCATCTTGTAGAATCTATCATCAGGGGTTCTTAAATGTCTTGGAAGCCAGGAGCAACCCCAGCCTCATTTCGGTAGTTTATCACCTGTTCTTTTCAATTTCTTGTGCTTTCCCTAATTGTCTTCTGTAATGATTACAGCAAGAAAACTACCATCCAGCTGACACATGAACAAACAGCTGACCCTAAGCCACGAAGTGGAGCCTCTCCAGGTGGTGAAAATAATGACATTTGCAGGTAAGGGGCTGCCATTCCTGGAAGACTTCTCGTCACTGTGTCCCCCTTCCTGCCACCTGCCGGAGTGTCTTTACCTTAATCTATTATTGAACTGTTGCAATTAAATAACCCAAAAAACAGTTGTTAAGGAATAATTGCTTTTTCTTACCACTCCAGGGAGCATCCGCCCTAGATGGACAGATGGCCCATCTGGTGGGGGTTGATCCAGCCTGTTACCTATCAACACGTCTGCTCAGACACAGATGGCTGTGGGGTGGCTGGTCATGTGACTTTCCTGTTCAGACAGTGTCAGGAGCTCCTGGGTTTCTGTACAGTGAAGCCTAGAAGGGCCTCCCACTTTCTGGTCTGAACATGCATCCCCAAATACAATGTCTAGTGTTCTGCCAGGGTTAGCTAGTTGTGTTGCCTGGCTCCTAAAGTGCTTAGTCAATCTTCGAGCTTTGCTTGTACAGTGTTTGCTTCTTGTGTGTTACAGGCACACGGCTGAGGAGCAGACTGAAGCCCAGGGAGGTCACAGGGCCCCTCGCTGGAGCTAACAGGGCCTTGACACCAACCCGGGTGGCTCTGCCTCCACTCTGCTGTTCCCTTCACCACCTGGTGTTTAGTTCTCATTGGTACTAAGAGTGTGCTGCTGTTGGGTGCCTGGCTGGCGGCGAGATGAGCATGGGCAGATCCTGTTAGGGCACTGTGGGAATGCATCTTCCTGTTCAGAGGTGACCCCCTTCCTCTTGGCATCTCCAGGCACTGGGAAGACCTCCACCCTGGTCACATGTGCCGAGAAGTGGTCTCAGAGCAGATTTCCATACCTGACCTTCAATAAGATCATCACCAGGCAGCCAGAGCTCATCTTCCCAAGCCACATCATCTGCAAGACATTCCACTCTGTGGCCTGTGGTCATGTCCACCCTGTGACCTGCAATCACATCGGGCTCAAGTGAGCTTCCTGGTGCCGCTGTCACCATCACGTCTGGTTACTGCTTTTCACAGGAGAGAACTTAGTGCCTAATCTCCCTTTATAGGCAGGGAGTATAACAAAAGATTTAGTGATTTATACTTTTACCCCAGAGAGATACATTGTCACCCAGGGAGGCGGGCTTGTGTGTCTGGAGTTTAGGCATGGGTCAGATGACTTGTCTGCAGTCCTGGGCACCAATGGCTTGGTTGACCCGTTCAGATAAGACTCTCCTTGGAAGCAGGAGAGGAAAGGACAAGGCTAAGAGGCACTTGATCTAGGCTCCTGGGGCCTCTGAGCTGTGTTCCCTGGGATAGGAAGGCTTCAGGGACCTTTGAGGTCCCCCTGGGGCCTCTTGGAGTCCTGTCTACACTGTGGAAGAGCAGTGTCTGTTGTGAGCCACTTTGTCTCCTGGGTTATTAGATGTGAATTTTGGAAAGCCGAATGGAGCCCTTTCCAGTCCCACGTGGCCTGGAAGCACTCAGCCCTTTAAGCATTTTTCCTCACCTAGATGAGCCACTGCCAGGGACCTGGTGGTGTCATCAGAGAGATGGGGGCAGGTGGGGGACACAAGTCCCACATGACCAGGAAAGCCCACCCTGTGCCCTCAGGACATGCCTTCCAGATATCAGTTGAGAAAAAAGCTGAATCTCTTCAAGTTAACCCCCTTCATGGTCAACTGTCTCCTTGCTGAAGGGAAGGGCAGCTTCATTAGGGCCAAGCTCGTGTGTAGCACTCTGGAGGTCTTCTTCACCTCGGCCGACGAGGAGCTGATGATCGACCATGTGCCTACCTGGTGCAAGAATAGCCAGGGGCAGCAAGTCATGGTGGAATAGAGCAAAAAGCTGGTGAGCGACTCAGTGCCCCTGGAGTCTGGGCCTGGGAGGATGAAGGCGCGACCTGGGGCCCAAGTCTAAATTTTTGATGTTAGGGGGAGCCTAGGTTTTAAGTGAGCTGGATGTGGGGCCAACTTAGGACGTCCATACAAAAACATACAGCCAGCAGCAGAGGGTCAGGGCTGGAGGGACTCGTTGGTCAGGGGCAGTGGGATAAGAGTGGGTGAGACGTGGCTGTGCAGGACGGAGCAGGGACAGAAGCCCTTACAGGTCAGGGCCTGATGGAGACAGGAAAGGAAACAGAGAGCAAAGCCCAGAAGCAGGTTGTTGGAGGTGACAGGAAACCAGCTTCCGGAAGGTGGGAGTGATCACTCATTGAACTGAAAGCCTCAGGAACAGGAGGGCCAAAGGACGTCACCTGAATTGGCAGTTAGGTCCCTGTGAACTAGAGCAGCAGCTGGAAGCTGGTGGCAGGGACCAGCAGTGCCAATGAGCAGGGGACCAAGGGCAGGTCAGGATGAGAAAGGATGCTTGAGACCGAGGATGGTCAGAAGGGCTGCACTGCAGAAGAGCCAGGGAAGGACGAGGCTGGCTAGGAAGGGTGCTCAGTACAGCATCCAGGACGCAGTCAGCACTCAAGACCATGGGAGTCATCCTCCACTCACTGACCGTATCCAGATCACACGTACCAGGGCTGTTCCGGGCCCTGTAGATACAGTAAGTGAGCAAGAGACACAGAAACCCTGGCCGAGGAGCTTACCTTCTAGCTGAGGAGACAGAGGGTAGACAAAAGAAACAACTCAAGTTGTATGGTGTGTTCCTGAGTGGTCAGGGCTATGGCGAAAGCATAAACTAAGGGAAGAAGATATAACATTAAAGGAGTGAAAGGAATTTTAGATCATGTGGCCAGGGAAGGGCCCCATTCAGTGAAGACCCAAAGGAAGTGAGAAAATTACCTACAATTAGGAAGTGAAGGAATGATGTCAATGATCACCACCCCTGTATTAGCATTCTCAGTGCATCATTATTGCAGGAACAGGTGTAACTGTATCATCGCCCTATCTTTGCCAGTGAATGGTACCATTACCACTGTCCTCTCTGGCTCCCCAGTGGTTTTGGCAGCACGTCTGATGGCCTGGGTCCAGCTACAGGAGCCTCTCCGATGGAGAGCCGCGTCCTGGGGAACCAAGTGCAACCCCACAGACGAGCGTCACGGTGAGTGCGTACATCAGGGGCACAGCTCGGACGGGAAGGCCCCTGCGAGCAGTCACTGCAGAGGAGAAGCTGCGTCACGTGTGCACCGAGGGGTGACGGGCAGCACCCGGCGGGTCTTCCTGTCCCACCTGCAAGTAGGGGTCCTCCTCATAGGCCACCCTCAGACCAGAGTAAGTGACACAGAGACACCTCCGGGGCAACAGGAAAGGTGCAGCTCGAGGAGGCACAGGTGGAGAGTGTGTGACTCAGAGGTCACAGTCGTGTTCCTGTTGTTACTGTGTTAGTCGCTCAGTCGTGTCCGACTCTGTGTGACCCCGTGGACTGTATCCCGCCAGGCTCCTCTGTCCATGGATTTCCTAGGCAAGAATGCTGGAGTGGGTTGCCATTTCCTTCTCCGTGGGATCTTCCATACCCAGGGATCAAAGCCATGCCTCCTGCATTGGCAGGTAGATTCCTTACCACTGAGTGACGGGGGAAGCCCGTCATGTTTCTACCAGAGCATGTATCTGGTTGCTAGAGATAAAAATCAGCCCCAGTGCCATCTGGGAAGAACGAAGAACTGGGCATTCTTGCCACGTCTGTTAAGTTCCCACCAGATTTACTCTGAACGAGGGGACTGAGTTGCTTGTGATTGACACATATATTTTTCTTTAACAGATTGGCTGAGACTGATAATTATTCTTTGCATTAAAAAAAAGAAAAAGATTCTAAATGTTGGAGGCCTCCTCCTCTCCAATCTAAGTTGCTACAGAATTTCTTAAAGTTACGATGTCACGTGTCTCATTTATTGGAGAGTCACAAATCACTTTCCGTGGGCAGGTGGGACGGGACACTCGACTTGTGGCTTCAAGAACAAACACCATCCTTCGAACAAGGTTATTAAAAAGGTTTGAAAATATCTTCAATATATTTTAGATGCATTTATTATCCAAAGTGAGCCAATACAGAACTTGGCACTTAAAAAATAATCTCACGATTCAAACATTATAGTCCAGTGTTTCAACATTAAACATTAAATGTTTAATTACTTTAGTGCACATTAAATGTTTTAATGTTTAACATTAAGAAGCAGAGCTTAGAATATAGAAGTGTTTCCATTAACTGCTTGTAAAGAAAGAAAGTGAAAGTGAAGTCGCTTATTTGTGTCAGACACTTTGGGACCCCATGGACTGTATGTAGCCCACCAGGCTCCTTCATCCATGGGATTCTCCAGGCAAGAGTACTGGAATGGGTTACCATTTCCTTCTCCAGAGGATATTCCCGACCCAGGTATTGAACCCAGGAATCCCGCATTGTGGGCAGATGCTTTACCGTCTGAGCCACCGGGGAAGTCATGTCTATGTAAATATCCCAGCATTTCCTTCCTGGCTTTGAAACCAAAAGTTCAACTACTGTTGGCCAATGAAAAGCCTGTGAAAGAAGAAAGTAAACAGGCCAGTCATGTTTTGTGGCTCAAGGCAAAGGCAAGTTGCTATATTCTAAATGTTATTACCAAGGCCTTGCCACAGGCGATTTATTACAAAACATCTCACACACATATAACAGTCTGCACACTGGATTTTCTTATTTAAAACAACTATTTTATTTTTTGGCTGTACCTTGAGGCATGTGGGGAACTTAGTTCCCCGACCAGGGATTGAACCTTGGCCCCTGCAGTGGAAGCACAGTCTTAACTTCTGAACCACCAGGGAAGTCCCCACCCTGTATTTTCATGCTTCTCTAAGGATTTCAGATGCCGACTTCATCCCCATCATCGACTCCAGACTCCACTCAAAGGTAGAAGAAGTGAATCAGAGACCCTGAAAAGAGTCCAACTGTGCAATGGGCTGTCATCAAGCCAGGAAGCCAGCCGCCTCATCCCAGGGGGGCAGTCCTCCACCCAAGGGGGTGTGTAGAAAACACCGGCTCCTGGCCTATTTCACTGCACCTGCTGGCGACTGAAGCAGCAGCACACGTGTTCCCGTGGATTCACCATCTACCTCTGGAAACGCCCTCAGCCATCGTGCTGTGGTTGAAGCACTGAAGGACGTCGGGGCTCCGTGTGAGATGCTGAGCCAGGGCGCCCGAGATGTCCGGAGAGTCCTGGAGCCCGGAGCTCAGGAGGAACTGGACACAGGCCGCATGCTGCCCCGAGCAGGCCAGGTGCAGGGCTGGGTGGGGACAGAGGACCCAGCTCAGGGCATCACCCACAGCAGTAGAGACAGGGGCCGGGTGCCCCTGATAGAAACTCTGGTTCCTTCAGCTGCACAGATTTCATAGTCTTGTATTCATTCCCATGAGTCTGTCTATTCTAGATCTGAACATTTTTCCTTTTAACCTGATTTGGTCAAAAATGGTTTTAAAAGTAATATAATCAATAGGGGAGGATTTGAGACTTGTCTAAAACACAGAAGTCAGTAAATGAGAAACGGGAGACTTTAAGTGATACAGAAGACATTTTCAAAATTTTATGAATTCTCTGTGTAAGGAGAAAATATTACGATGAGTCAGAAAGATGTAACGAAAGAAAAACTGCTGACACAGCTTCCATTTTGGTTGGAAACTGACACTGAGGGTTTCCAGTATGCTTCCTGGGAGCCAGAAGATCCTGGGTGTCACTCCCTTGCCATCAGGGGAAAGTTTGTGTCCCTGAACTCAGTCGCTTCCCTCTGCAGCCCTGGAGTGAGGGACTGGTTGCCTGTGAGTGCTAAAAACATTTTGCTAACTGCTTTCTGTACCTTACATTGTTCTATCCTTATAGTAACCCTGTGAAAAACTGAAACTTGTCTGTTTTACACATGGAAACACTGATGCTTAAGGAGGTAAAGTGGGCCTACAGCAGGGAAGGTGGCAGATTTGAGATCTGAACCCACCATCTGAATCACCATGCTTCCTCTTTATCCCCTGGGCTAAAACTTGTAGGAATAACTGAAGGGACTGAACCAAACCGTTTCTCTATCTTGTGCTTTTCGAGGAGCAGTCTGGCCACGTCCATGTGGCCACACTGAACAGTGTCCATGAAGGGCGTAAAGCCATACCTGTCTCTGCAGTCTAGTTCATACTGGCACCTGGAGCCCAGACCCAAAGCAACAGCTGAGAACAGTCACCACTTCAAACCTGACAGCGCTGACTCTGGGTGTCCCAGGACTGTAATCTAAAGAACACCAGTATCTACATCTTTTCTTTGCCCTATTGTTGTTCCTTCGCTCAGTCGTGTCCGACTCTTTGTGACCCCATGGACTGCATCATGCCAGGTCTCTGTCCCTCACCATCTCCCAGAGTTTGCCCAAGTTCATGGCCATTCAGTCGGTGATGCTGTCCAACCATCTCATCCTCTGCTGCCCTCTTTTCCTTTTACCTTCAATCTTTCCCAGAGTCAGGGTCTTTTCCAAGGAGTTGACTGTTCTCATCAGGTGGCCAAAGTATTAGAGCTTTGTCATAAACCTTTTCAATTTAAGACTCCAGGCCTGAGACTGACTTCTTTATCTTTGTGTTGGGGGTGGGGGTGGGGGGTAATAGTACCTGCCTCTGAGGGGTTGTGATGGTTCATAATTCCTTCAGCAAGTATTTATTTATGAAGTGCCTATTCAGCACTCTTCTAGACACTGAAGATAAAGCAGCAGAGTCCTTGCTGTCAGAGCCTAAGATCTAGTGTGGGTAACAGTAAATACAGATATACTGATGACAAGTATATTTGTGAAAAGTGCTAAGAAGAGTGTAAGTCAGTAAAGGTGAAAAGTGACAGTGAGAGGGCCTGAAGGTTTCAAGTTTGCGTTCAGAGAAGGTACAGACCTTAAGTAAATGGGAGTTCGCCATGTGGATTTGACAATGCATGTACATGTCACCCATATCCTGGGGGGCCCCTGTAGCAGCATGGAGGCAGTGATGCTGGAGCTGGGTGAGTGGGTGGCTGAGGCCAAGTCAGGTAGGGCTCTTGACCCATTTCGTGCTTTTCAGTTTTATTTTCATTAAGGTAGGGAGCCATTGAAGTATTTTGAGCATGTAACTGACAGAACTGAATCTAGAGTTGTTAAAAAAGCTTTGTGGCCACTGAATTAAGTAGACAAAAGTGAAGCAAGAGACCATTTAGGCTATTAAAATAATCCACCCCACTCCAAAAGTAGGGAATTTCCTAGCGGTTCAGTGGTTAAGACTCCATGCTTCCACTGCAGGGGACATAGGTTTGATCCCTGGTCAGAGAACTAGGATCCTGCATGCCATGTAGCCCAGCAAAAAATGAAAAAATAAATAATCCAAGTGAGGTATGATGGCAATTTGGCCCATGGTGGAGGTAGTGAGAAATGGTCTACCCTGGACAGATTGTGAAAGGAGAGCTGACCAGGCTTGGTGATAGACCTCCTATGTCATAAGCAGGGAGGAATCAAGTAGGATCCCAAGGTTTTGGCCTGAGAAACTACAAGCATGGACTTAGCATCCTGGAGGTGGGAAAGGTTATGGATGGAGTTGGGGTGGGAGAAGAGCTGAGAGCTCAACTTTGGACATAATTTTAAGTGCCTATAGGATATCAGAGTGGACGAGTGAGACAAGGAGCATGGGGTTCAAGGAAGAGGTGTGGACCAGAAATACTAGTGTAGGTGTCACTATTGTCGGGTGACACTGGATAAGATCAGAGCCTGGAAAAGATTACATGGAGTGTGAACCAAGAGTTGAGGATTGGATGGGCTAGGCCTGATACCATCAAGAAAGACTCAGTAACCCTTACTCTATTTTTCTAGTCCTCCCTTCCTAGCTTTTTTGTCTGTCTATTGATTGAAAAGAATTTAGTGAGTGATGGAGTAAAAATTGTTTCCAACTTTAGTTTCTGGACTCCCAATCTATCAGTATATGCTTCTACATTATTTTAAAGAATTCACCAAAAGTATGTTTGGACAAATATGAATGCTGGTTGTGACATTTTAGTAATATAGTCAGTGAAATTCATTTGCAGTTTCTAACTGTCGAGGTCAGGGGCGCGGCTGAGAGGAGCTACCACATGCCCAAGGGCAGGGGCGGTGGCCGAGAGGAGCAACCCCACCTCCAAGGAGCGGCTTCTATGGGACGCAGGAGGGCCGAGAGAAGCTACTCCACGTTCAAGGTCAGGAGAGGCGGCCGTGAGAAGATACCCCTCGTCCAAGGTAAGGAGCAGCGGCTGCGCTTTGCTGGAGCAGCCGTGAAGAGATACCCCAGGTCCGAGGTAAGAGAAACCCAAGTAAGACGGAAGGTGTTGCGAGAGGGCATCAGAGGGCAGACACACTAAAACCATAATCACAGAAAACTAGCCAATCTGATCACAGGACCACAGTCTTGTCTAACTCAATGAAACTAAGCCATGCTGTGTGGGGCCACCCAAGACTGTTGGGTCATGGTGGAGAGGTCTGACAGAATGTGGTCCACTGGAGAAGGAAATGGCAAACCACTTCAGTATTCTTGCCTTGAGAACCCCATGAACAGTATGAGAAGGCAAAATGATAGGATACTGAAAGAGGAACTCCCCAGGTCGATAGGTGCCAAATATGCTACTAGAGATCAGAGGAGAAATAACTGAGGAGAATGAAGGGATGGAGCCAAAGCAAAAACAACACCCAGTTGTGGATGGGACTGGTGATAGAAGCAAGGTCTGATGCTGTAAAGAGCAATATTGCATAGGAACCTGGAATGTTAGGTCCATGAATCAAGGCAAATTGGAAGTGGTCAAACAGGAGATGGCAAGAGTGAATGT